AACAAATACCCATGGAAAGCTAGCATTATTCTGCACTCTAGGCTGTTCTGGGGCTGAAATTAAAACTCATGAAACTACCTAGTGTTCCTCCTTTCTGTGGGTAGAGGCTGTCCTGTTCCTAGCCCCTCTTGGCCCCTGAGATTCCTGAGGGGACAGAGAGGCCTGACAAAATGCTTGTGGGGTGCTTATTTGGTGGTGATAGTTCCTTCTTGTCACTGCTTTAGTTCCACCTGGAACATCAAAAGGTGTACTGAATGCCTTTTGCTTGAGAGCCTCTCTTCCTCTCTGCTTCAGCCTGTAATGGAATGAGTTCCTTTCCAGGAAACCGGGATTTCACAGTACAGCAGGTCAGAATTCCGCAGATCCACTTCCAATCCTGCCTCAAACAGGCAGAACAGTGGCTCAGGTACCGAACGCAGGCTGCTTCTCTGCTTTGCTTTTGGAATAGCTCCTCTGCTGCCAGCTAGACATCTGCTTGAGTAACGCTACCTTTCCCAAGAGTCTGCCAATTCCTACTTTCCCCCAGGTCATCGTCAGGGGCACAGTACATGGAAATGTAGCCACAACAACCTCCATCTTGACCCTTTCAAAGACCTTCTTGAGCACTTGGCATCCTTGCCTCGCCTGGGAGTCAGCAACTGCGTGCAACAATGAGTAAGGCCTTCTGCTGGAGTGGCGAGGCTCCGGGAGGCTGCTCTGCCAGACCGGCGTGGCCATAACCCTTAACCTGTCTGGCTTTAAGTGCTCCATCTGACTGGGTGACATCAGCCTCTTGCATCCCGTGCTGCTCGAATTGCACTGGAGCAGACACGCATGGAAAGAGCATCCAGCCTCGGAGCTGTTTGTCCTTGCTGTCCTGTATCTCCCTACCTTCTCAGATGGAAAACTGGAAAAGCCTCCAACCGTTCTTGTACTCTTCCACCTCCCTTACCTAGCATGTGCCTTCTGCCTCAGCAGGACAGCTGGTAAGGGGTCACTTAACCTCAAAACTGCTCCATCCCATAGCTGATGATTCCCACGGGCCCCACAATTCCCGAATGAACAGGTGGCTGTGCCAGCAACCAGCTATTCTAGGAAATTAGGGTACATGCAAGTTGCACCCTGCGTTCATGATGGCATAGGATGATCCTGTATTAGTGGGGATGGCAAGAGATCCTCCTCGCAGATGGTTCCTCTGAGGGACGGGTCGGGGCTTGAACACTTGTTATGGGGTGTAGTCCCAAAATAGCCTGTGCTCTGCTCTGATGCTCGCTGCTGCATGACTGTGGTGAGAGAAGGAATCTAATCTGTCTGTGGATGCTTTTGCAACTGAGCGAGGGCTGTGTTCACGTCAAGGCAGGACATGGTTATGTCTTGTATGTGGGGAGCCCAAACTCATGATTTCTTTCCGGAGCAAAAGAGACCGATTTCATCAGATGGATAATGACAAGTTTCTGGCTCTCCTGGATCTCTTGGATCTGTTGTGAGCAGCTGTACCAAAACCAAGCTGAAGAGCTATCTGAGGCTTGATGTTAGGGCTAAGGTCCTGGCTTGTACAGGTACTGAAGGTGGTCCTTAGAGCCATCTGTGGGACATGGTGTCTGTCACTTGTCATCTTCTCTTAGCAGCTGTGACCCCTCCAGCACACCTTCTAAGGATGAGTGTGTTTCTTAAACAATACTTTGACAACATGCCCTTAGCGAGTTTGCTTTCTGGGCTCAGTGATGTGAACAGGGCATTCGCTTTTGTGAAATATATCCACTCGTCATAAAACCCAAAAGCCTCCAGCATCCCAGGGGACTTTGGGGTCTGTAGCTCTTCTTGGCCTCGCCTTCCTCCCAAGTCTGTGGCTGACGTGAAGTGCTCAAAGGACTTGTGGCTCCAGAAAGACAACTGAGTATTGCCTAACTTATAAAAGGCTTGCTGAGGAGTAAATGTTCTCAGTCCTGCTGCTCTGGGCTAGCAGAGACCTCTGTTCCTTGTTTTCAGCAAGCAACTGCGTGACTTCTGGGGCTGGCCTCTCAGCTAGGAACTGAAGGAACTGTTCGCTTTGCAAGGGTTGCTACTAGCAACTTGGCATAACGCACCTGTTTGAGGACAGGGGTCTGTATTTCCTATTTTTATGAAGACTAGGACTACTCCTGAGCGCTCTGCACTGACTTCTTCACAGCAGAACCCTCTACATCAGCTCTCCTTGGGCTTTGAAAGCAGCAGAGCTAGTCTGGTGCTGAAAGGCTTGCAAGATTGTCTCGAGGATAAGAACCCAAAGGTGCCTTGTGAACGCTACTGGTGTCGCCTTCTGACCCAGCCTCTCTGAAGAAAAAGCAACCTTCAGATGAGTTATCAAGTCTTGATAACGAAAACCACTGTAAAGTTGTAAAGTGAGTGATGCCTGTTCTTTTCCTGAAGTTATAGGACTAAATAGCTGGAGGCTAATAAAAGTGTAAAGGCTGGTGCCGTGGTCTCCCTCTGCTTTTAGTGGCAGCAGTCCAAGCATGGGTCTCAGGTTGCCATTGCACTCTTAACCCTCAGACAACTCTGTGTGCCTTAGTCCCCAGGGCTTGGGGCTGTAGGGGAGAGTCTGGGGAGACTGTCTGGCACAGGGCTACTGCAGCTGTGGAAGCCAACATCATCTTTTTGTTAGCCAGTGGCATTTTGCTGCTCAGCTGAGGGGCCGTTCTTACCCGGGGTGATCAGCTGGAATACAAGTTGGGGACTGTTGTTTGCTCTGCTGTTCAGAGGCTGTGGTTACGGACTGCTCTTCTGCGAGTCGGAGCAGGAGTACAAATAACCTTGGATGTATTTCCATGCTGTGTGAATGGGTGCTGAACCAAGAGGTTTCCTAGCTGGATATCCTTGATATCTGTTTTGATACTCCCAAAGTGCTTGAATGTAGCCTACAGGCAAACTGTGGACAGAGGAAAATTCAGGGATTTTTTTCTGTTTTGAAGTCACCACGTGGTCCTTCCAAGGCCCAGGTTTCCTGTAACTCGGATGAGCTTTGGGGCTCGGAGTGGATTACGCCACGCTTCTGTACTTGTCTGGGCTGGCATAGGCCAGGAGAATAGGGTAGAGGGCTTCAGAGACTGCTTGTAGTACTGTGCCCCTCAGCCATGGGGGCTGGATACCTCCCCCTGCTGAAGTACTGTGCCTTGTTCCCCTCCAAATGCTTCTTGAGTTCATCCTCCCTCAGACTCGGGGAGAGGAGCCAGGCAGTGAAGCTGGCTCTCGGAACAGGGTTGCTGAAGCTGTCCGATGCCCTGCTAGGAGGGCTTTCAGAACTGCTTGAAACTACTAAAAGGGATCACACAACCCTCAAATCCTGAAACATCTCTGGAAATCCTGTTGGCAGGAGCCTGATTTCTGAAGCTTCCGAGTGCCATCACTACCTCGGTGCTGACTGGAAGGCAGGAGCCAAGAAATCCCATCAGGAAAAAAAAGCTGACTAAGGGTGCCTGGTAAGAGATGAGCGATCCAGCTGTGGTGTGGAAGCTGACAGGGAGGACTCCTTGCAGAAGCAGTGAAACTAAACCTCCACGACTGTACAGGGATCCCACAGTGGTCTTGTGGTGACCACAAGTAGATGTCTGGTGGATCTGGCTGGATGGCTCTCTACCTCTAAGTTCCTTCAAAGTCTCTAGTCAGGACATGAGCTTTGTCCAAGAGTGCGAACTTCAGCTCTGGGATCCTTCCTGGTAGGGTCTGTACCAGGATCTGTATTTTTCACAGGACAAAACCCAGTTCCTGCCATGGCTGTGCCAAATCCATGTGTGACAAGTGAGCTCCGTGGAGCTCTGCCAGCACGCTGCTGCTTTCCTGCTGCTTGTCCTGACTGCGTGTGAGCACCGGTTGCCTGTCCCCTTGCAGCAGGACTGCTGTGACTTGGGAGTGTGTCTGCACCTTCCTAAATTGTCCGTGCTTCCTTAGGCTAGAAGTCCTGCCACGTATGCTTCAGCAGAAGCCACCCTCCAGCCCGAAGGGACATGGAGGCTTGTCTGCCGTATTGGGAAGAGCGCTGCAGGGCTGCCTGAGCGTGAGCTGATGGTTCTCCTCCAGCCTTCCCGACCCAAACAGCTGGGGCTGCAGGCATGGCTTCAGTCCCCTGCAGTCTGGGGAGAGGCCTGTGAGCCTTTGCTTTGAAGCACCGGTCCTTCTTGTGCAACTTGCGGCTTGATTCTCCTAATTCTTTGTGCGGTGAGGAGATTGGCAGAACCCAGATCCACTCTTGGACAGAGTGCGTGTTTCTTTGAGGAATGAAATAGTCTGTAAATGACTGACTGTCATCTAGTACACTTGCCTGTCAGGTGTGCCATGCAACTTGGTAGGCTGGGCCTTCCACCTCTGGAGGGCTTCCTGTTGTCTCAGAGTTACTTTTCAGGTGTATTTGGCCTACAAACAACTTCAGGGTGGAGGAACTGTGAGCTCCAAATGCTTGTTACGGCCTGCAGGTCCATAATCCGATGGGCTATTTCAGATCAGCTATTTGCCTTGCTAAAGCACAACAGCTGAAGTGGCCTTCTCTAACAGGGAAATCAAGCATGATTGAGGTCCTAAAATATGCAGCATAGAACACTGGGCAAAGCAGGTGTATTTTTGAATGTTCTTAGTGACTGCTGAGTGCTAAACTCTCTGCTTCTCTTGAAGTCCTTAGGTGTGGTGTTATTAAAGTTCTTGTCGCATATGGGATATTAAATATGTTTATGGGGACATGGTTTAGTGGTGGACTTGGCAGTGTTAGGTTAATGGTTGGACTGGATGGTCTTAAAGGTCTTTTCCAACCTAAAAGACTCTCTGATTCTATGCCTATTGGACACCCTACATTTGGGCTTGGCTCTTGCAGGAAAAAGAACACTGGTCTTTCTTGCAAGTGGGTCCAGTGCAAGACTTGGCGCTAACAGATAATCTAGAGGCCTTCAAGATGGCCAACCGGATGCTGGCTCCCCTGTTGTATGTATCTTTACTAAGCTTAAAGGAGAGCTGTAGGTCATGTTAAGTAATGCTGTGCAAATCTTTTCCCCTAGGTCATATTCAAAGTGAAATGTGCAGCTGAATTCAACAAGTACAAGTAAGTGATGCTTTTCTGATGTTACCTACAAAGCTGGCTTCAAGTGAACCCGTGTTGCAGCGCTAGGAACGGGAGCTTCAGACCCCAGAGACTGAGCAGAGCTATTGCCGTACCTGGCTGTGCTCTGGCAGAGGATCACTGTTGTGCCTTGGAGCAGGACTGGGAGCTCCAAGGGTAGTGAGGAAGCTAAAGCGTATACTGCATGCCTCCGTACATGTCATCAGCATCCCAGTACCGGTGCTGCTATAGCAAACTAGATGAACTCTTGAGGTCATTCTGAGCTGTCCCACCCCAGAAAAGATCTGCAGAATAAGGCTTGAGTAATAGGTGGGACCAGTGTTTGTGCAGCCCAGGTGCTTCTTAGCCATTTCCAGGGAAACCCACAATGGGAAATGCAAGCTCCAGTGGCTTTCAATAAAGAAGTTGCAGTGGTTGCGATGACTCATAGCTTATTGACTGAAGTTAATGCAGAGCTGGAGTGACACTTAAAATCTGCAAGATAAGAACCTGACTGTCAGAAGATGAGTCTTGTAGCTCATGACTACTTATGCTGCTCATGCATTAGGAGAGCAGCTCAAGCAAATACTCTGCAGACTTGGGCTGTCGATACAACCACTGAAACTTGCTGGAATGTCTGATCTTCATAGCAAGCAGAGCACTGGGCATGCTGGGAGGTCCTCTTGCCTGATGAGACAGGAGGGTGGTGGAGAATGACCCCAGAGCTGTCTGACTTGAACTCCATCTTTTTTTCCCCCCCCATCTCTCCAGGGTCCTGTTGTATCTGGGCTCCGTATTTACCAGCCTCCTCTTCTTAGTTGTGAACCTAACTTGTGCAATGTTAATCCATGGTGAGGTCCCGGAGAACCAGCTGAGGTGGACAGTCCTTGCCCGCGCCCTGGTCAACGACAGCCTCTTCATCCTCTGTGCCATCTCGCTGGCTTGCTGCATGTGCAAACTGGGAAAGATGTCTTCAGCGAATGTCTACCTCGAGTCTAAGGTAGGTAAATGCCTTGTCAGCTACACTGGAACTGCACAATTGGCAGCTGGATTATCAACTGAGCTCTGTGTGCTTACTCATGGCTATGCTGGCCTTGTGGCACCTGAGCTACTGTTGCTTAAATACTCCTTCCAGCGTGGAGGTGGCAGCTCTGGGACTCCTCTCTCCAGAAAGTGCATGCTCCTGCTGTAGGAATGAAGTGCCCTGTGTGTTTTAGGGGAATACGCTGTCTGCAGCTTTGCTGGCACAACAGGAGGGTTAGGAGCTGCTTATGCTTTTGAGGTTTAGAAGTATAATTTAGGGTTTGACTGGAAGAGAGGGTTCTCCAAGAGTAGCAGATGCAGTTGCTGCAGTATATTGTCACTAAGGACAGTAAAGTCTGCAGCATATTGGTATCTCTGGCAGATGCATTTAACAATTCTCTGCAAAGGGGATCCCCTCAGCAGTCCTGTGTGAGATGAGCATCTTAGAAGGGGAGGAGAAGTTACTGTAGGTCCTGCCCCAAGGCAGAAGGACAGGTGAGGGTCTGAACAGACACAACTCTCCTCAAGCAGGTAGGGAAGTGGATAAGCCACCAGCATCTCATCTTAGCGTGTGGCAGTAGGCCGCAATTAAGTGTGCGCTTGAGCTGGCTCCTCTTCCTCTGGGAAGCCATATCATTCCTATCGGAGGCACTGATTCCAGGGTGGGGACCTGGCCTGGTGAGAAGGGCAGACAGCAGGCTCTTGATGAGCCTGGAAGCATCTACAGGAAAAGCTTCAGCACCTGAGCAGAGTCAGGCTCAGAGAAGTGGCTGCCTGGCTCTAGCACTTTTGAGCTACTGTCTTTTTCCCAGTAGTACAGCTCCTCACCCCATGGGCTCCGAATTGCCTCTTCCCAGGTGTCGGAAGGTGGGGCTCTGGCCTCCTGCAGAGACCTTATTCCCAATGTGCCTTCAGTCAGGTGAATTGACATGGGCTTAAAGCACTGCCATGCCTGCTGCGAGGTTGCCCAGAGCATAGAGCTTCTGGAGGCTGTTGGATGGCTCTGTCCCTGCTCAGGAAGAGGATGAAGAGGGTGACAAGCTGCCTTGCAGCTACAATAGACATTCTGGATCCAGCCAACTGCATTGCATTGGCTGGAGGCATCTCCTTGCTCCTTAGCAGGCCATCTGCGTGACCACTCGAGTGGTTGCGACCCACTGCCCCTTCTCTTAGGGCAGCTGAGTGAAAGCCAAGAGGGTGGCCGGAGCCATGCTGTCAAAGTTGAAGCTGAGGCTTTTTGTAGGAGAGGTCTGGGCCTCTTAAGCAGCAGAGAGCATTGGTGGTTGCCCAGAGCCCAGGCTGTGTGGGCCACGGACCACGGGAGTGGCTGCCTAGCTGGCTCTTGTGAGAGCTGTCCACAGAGGCTGCCGATCGCAGCCAGGTGATCTGAAGTGAGACAGAGAAGCTGTGACTAAGCTGCAAACCTGCTCACATCCCTGCTTACATGGGCCAGGTATCCAGCTCTGACTGGCTCTGGACACTAATTAACTTATCAAGTTCACCCAGCAGTAGTTTAAGAATGCAGTAACTTCCTCTAGTTCCACGCCTGAGGCTGCCTGTGGGGCTGTGCTCTTGTACAACATGCTCTGGAGAAGCCTGCTCTGGGGTTGAATACTCAACACGACTGCTAAAGGTCTCTAGCATTCAAACGCTGTCTCCCTTCCCTGCCTTGGAGGCATCCTCTGACTTTGTGTGGTGGAGGAGCAGCGAAAATAGGGTGGGGATGAGCAGAAACGTTCCACAAATGCCCAAAAAGGCTGTTCTTGCCTCCTGAACTCCAGCTGTGAACCTGCTGACTCAAAACAATACAGCAAGGCTGGGGGGGCCCGGTGAGGCTGCTGCCTCCACTTAAAGGTGGGAAGGTTCGAGGCATCTGAACACTTGGGAAGGATGCTGCGCTATTGAACTGCTGCCAGATCCTGGCCTGTGGTCCTTGTCAGCTGGAGACTTGCTTCACTACCTTTTCTGCCTCTTATTCTGCTGTCCCGAATACCGAGGGCTCAGCTAACGGTGCTAGAGCGGGTTGCGTTCTTGTGCTTCAGAGGTGTCATGGGGAGTTGTCTGTTAGCGGCGCTTTCGTGCTGACTCTTCCAAGACGTGATCTTAAGCAAGTGCTGTAAAGCTAGGAAAATAGAGCTCGCGTACCCGTAGCTCGGATGTGGAGCAGGTCAATGAGATGTGCTTCCTGAGCTGACTGTCTCTCTGAATACAAAGGCAAGTCGGCTGCTGAGATGGTTTAGTGTGGACTTGGTAATGTTAGGTTAATGGTTGGACTGGATGATCTTAAAGGTCTTTTCCAACCTAAACCATTCTATGATTCTATGTGTGTCTGCCCGCTTACTGGCTTCTGCTGTGCAGTGACTTGGTGGCTACCGGTAGCTATTAAAAGGCTTCAGCAGTGTATTTAGCAAAGAAATGCAGACGCTTGCAGATCTTCAGGTAGCTTCCTCTCCCGTGGCTAGCTGTCCAGGAAAGGTGGGTGCCGTGACCTTCGGGTACCTCATGTGGCTATCCCTCTGACAGCACTGCATCTGAAACCCTGGGGAGAAAGCTGCTCTTCTCCAGCACAGGACAGCTAGCGGGTCCCGCAACACCTAGCCACCCTTCAGCACGCTGCTCTGCATACGGCAAAGCTTGGTTCGTCCCACGGCAGCGCTGCGGTTCAGGTGCTGGGTCTTTCTGAATGTTCTCAGAGTTGCCCACCCCAAATATTTGGGTTTCTTTCCTAGATGAACATTGTGTTCCATGTCAGGGGTGCCAATCTGCTGCGGAGTGAATGAGCGTGGCGGACATCTCCGCTGTAGCGCCTGATCGGGGTGTAGAAGCAGGAAGACGATTTTCTTAATGGTTGTTGGTTGGCCTTCTGGAGACTTCCACAGTAAGATGGTGGGTGGGCTGGCTTCTCTCTGGACCAGCAGGCTGAAGCTGACTGATAAGATCCCTGAGAACGATGCTCCTGTGCCTCGAGTCTTCCCCGCTCCCTGGCGACACTGGCTGTGTGGCTCTGCTACTGCAGTGAACTCGTCACGTGAGGAAGCTCTTCATCAGCTCTGAATATTTTAGCAACAACATCCAAATGTTCTAGGTCATTCTTGCCTGCGCAGCTCCTCCTGCATTTAAGGGGCGGGGACGGGGAATTGCAGCTCTGTAGGAAGGTCTGTATTAAAACTTTTTTTTTCTTTCTGTTCTAGGGAACATCTGTCTGCCAGGCTATTCTTGTGGGATCTGTAGTCGCTCTTCTGTATTCCTCAAGGGCTTGCTATAACCTGGTAGCTGTGGCCATATCTCCAGACAATGTTCCCGGTCCTTTTAACTATGGCTGGGACAACCTTTCGGACAAGGTAAGTGTCTGTGACCCCCGATCCAGAGCTGGTAAAGCGAAAGGCAGTTCTTGTACCGTCCTGTGAGGGCACGTGTAGGCGAAAAGGGGGGCTATGTGGGGGTGTCTTTGAATCCCTAGACGAGCTGGCTTTCTGCCTTCAGAAGCCCTGCTTGTTCTCTCTACCAGAGCATACCTGAATGTTCCTCTATCCGGCTACTTCTTCAGGAGGGATTCCCTGTTGTGCTCTTCAATTTTTAGCTGTCCAACTCTTCTTTTGGGGGGAGAAGAAGAACAAGTCAACTAGAGCAGAAAAGCTGTGCTTAATCGGGTGTGGCTGTGCGCAAGGGAGAGTTGTTGGTGCGGGGAGGGAGCTAAGGGGCCCCTGGCAGCACACAGCAGAGAGCTACCTCACTAAAAACAGTAGCAGCAGTCAGGTAAGGGTCACCAGGCTGGTTTAGGGACTCCTGCCTTCGTAAGGGTTTCTCTGTGTTCCTAGTTCTAAGCTGTGCCCGGCTTTGGGAGCCGCGTAGCTCTGCTGGTGGCTAGGATTATACGGAGACCTCTAACTCCTGTCTGCAGGTGCACGTGGAAGTGAGCAGTGAAGAATACGTCGTGTTCGGAGTGGTCCTCTTCCTCTGGGAGCTGGTGCCGACGACTTTCGTGGTGCTGTTCTTCCGGGCTCAGAGACTGAGTCAAAACTTGGTAGGCCTGCGCCAAGCTGCTGTAGCTCGAGTACCCCTGCGCGGGGAGGAGCCCCAAAGCGCCCGGGGTGGGTCTTTGGGAAGATTGTCGGAAATCTCTCGCTTCTGGCCTAACTCCTTTCTCTTTAACAGACTCCAGCAGGGATGGTCAATAGTCACAGTTACAGCTCCAGAGCCTACTTCTTTGACAATCCGAGGCGCTATGACAGCGATGATGACTTGTCACGGCTTGGGGCCAGAGAAGGAGGGTAAGCGTTGTTGGGCAACTGAAAGCGCAGCTGCTGTTGTACTGCCCTGTGTGGAAGCAACAGAGCTCTTGGAAAAAGAAAAAGGAAAAAAAATTTGGTGTAAGAGGGGGATGGGGCAAGGAGCCTTCTGACGGCGAGCTTGGTTTTGTTCCCTTCTGCAGCTCACAAGGAGCTGTTTTTATTAGACAGAAGCGACCAGCTCCGAGAGGTGGATATTGCACTGGGTGCTCGCGGGTAGAAATACGCAGCGGCTACAGACAGGAGGGCTTCTCTTGCTGGGATCCTTCCTCAGCTGTGGGGACAGAGGGCTTTTGGATGACCTCCAGAGGAGTTTCTCCACCGGAAAGTGAGCGGTGGTGAAGTCCTGGGAGCCAACTGGGACAAAGCTCTGCGGGAACACCCGGTGTAGGGGAGAATGTTCCGGTATCCCCAGCAACGCTGTAAGGGGAAACCTGACAGCCCTGTCTTTCACCCGCTGCTCAAGGGTCTGAACTCCACCTGCCCGGGGTGTAGTGAGGGGTTCAGAGGTTCTGGCTGCTCTCAACCAGTTTTGTAGGGCCCGGTGCTTTTCTCCTTGTACCCGTTTCCTCAAAGCCAGGTTCCTCGGAGATACCGTGCCTGCATGTCATAGCCTGCTTCTGCAGAGTTGGATACCCAGATCAGTGCTGGGAGCAGGAGTCTTTCCTAGCAGTGGAGATGAGCTGCAGCCAAATTACTCATCTCTAAGAGTCCATGTTTGTTTTTTCTGTCTCTCCTCCCAGTTTGGCCACCCCTCAGTGCTCTGGCTGCTACGGGTCCCTGGCTGGGAATGATAGCTACGCGGTGGGTCCCCGTCTCGGCGGAACCGCTACGGACAGTGCTCCCTTGCTCTTTGCCGCGGGCGGCTCGGAGATGAATAATCACCACAGCTCATACCCTGCACCACAGAACTGAAGAGGCTGCGAGGTCCCTTTCTTCCCAGAAGTGGCATTCATGTATAGGATTGTAACCTGGTTTTCTCTTTCCTTCTTCCCCGAAGCATCTAACTCATCGACACAAACATTCCACTACCTGCTGCAGCTGTGAGCAGGACTGAGCCTACGGCTGCAGGCAGTAAGCAAGAGAACTGTGACTTTAAGGTACCATGTAGCAAAGCGAAGCTGAACTCTCTGGAAGCTTTTTCTCGGTCTGGTCTTCAAGATGTTGGCAGCTAAACGCACCAGAGCTTCCTCACTAGAAAAGAAACATCAAATGCATATTTGCACTTTTATCTGCACACTTGGAAGGAACGAATCTTGCTCAGACCGTGCTCGGTCTGAGCCTGTTCTAGTTACTCTTTTAATTGCACATCCATAGCTGGGAGAGGCACCGTCTTCCTGCAAAGACGTGTTTTTGTGAAGTACTCTGCATCCTGACTCACTTGGGAGTGTGAAGCTCTGTCAAACCCAGCGCGTTACGGGCAGGGCCTCCTGCGGCGAATGTCAAAGTGGACTGTGCCATATTCGCACCCGGCAGGGCTGACGCCGCGGGGCTGAGCGTGGTCTTGCTCTGACTGCTGCTCCTTGTTTCACCCCGTTTGCCGAACTGTCCTACCTAGGACTTTGCGGGCTCAAAGCTGAGCTCAAAGCGCATCCCAGCGGAGGCCTGCGAGGGTGAGATCGAGTGCTCCTACTGGCATTAAATCACTACGTTGTAACTGACCCACTAGCTTACGGCGAAGGAAGAGGGGCTGGTTTGGAACGGTGGCTGCTGTCAAGTGAGACGGGGCGGGGGCGAGACTTTTTTACAGGCTGCTGCCTTGTGGGAAAGCTTAGAGCTGGAGCTGGCTCGGCGAGAGCGTGCGTGCAGGAACGTGTGTGGCCCGAAGCGCACGGCAAACCATAGGGCTGCTTTAACTGGGGTGGGGGTGAGAGCAGTCCTGCTCCCTCCTCTTCCTCACCCACGCTGGGGCTCCCCTTTTTCCCCTGTCGGTATTAAATCGCATTTAGCGGATAACCAAGAGTTTTAACCTGAAGTGAATGTGAACTGGTGGGCTCCCCGCTGAGGCGCAGGAGGCTGGCTGGGGTGTCTGGCCGCTTTGCGGAGGCGATGCCCGCTGTGGCGGAGGGAAGCGGC